ACATTTATTTCTTTTTCATGAACGGAAACAGCAGAGGACAGAGTTCAAACGTTTGACCTACAGTGATACACAGCTGCCGACACCAGGCACAGGAAATGACCTTTGCAACCAGGTCACATGACAACACTCATTTTTGTTTTCTTGATGTTGTAGAATCGATACCTAGCGATGACAACGTCTTACGTGAATAAAGTGACAGAACTGACAGTAACTGTTTGATGTGGCTTCATACGGAAGACATTTATGTATCGGACGCTACAAAAATAAATAAAAAAAATAAAAATACAGCGTGTGCAAGTGAATCAAACACACATGGGTGTCGTACCTCATCAGATATATACTACAGTATAGTATGAAGTACTGCGAGTACAGGAAGTCACATCTGGAAACTACAGGTGGGGAAAACTACTCTATAATATTTGAAAATTCTAATCTATTCCCGTTGAACCGACTTTTTTTCCCTGAATCTTCAAAATTCACTGAACTTCACAAGGGTGGAGGAAGTGATGTGGTTCAACTGGGGGGGCGGGGACTCGGCTTTCATTTCCCCAGTTGGTTAAGCAGTAAAGGTGAAAGGTGAGGGTGGGGGGGTGAGGGGGGGCACAGGAGGCAGGGTGTGGACCACCAGACTCCAGGTCTTCACTGGACCTTGGTGACGGCCTCGTGGATGGACTGGGCCACGTAGTCGATGTTCTTGGTGGTCAGCCCGCACATGTTGATGCGGCCGCTGGCCATCAGGTAGACGTGCTTCTCTTTGATCATGTATTCAACCTGTTTAGCTGCGAGACCAAGAAGGGTCGCATCGACGTAAGAAAAAAAAAAAAAACACAGGAGGAAACTGGAAATGTCTCCGAGGCGAAGGAAGATTCTACAGGTTCTCATCATTTTACATTTTGGAATTTGAATCTGGGCCGAATTCAGGACAACAGGTATTTTTGAAACCCATCAATGTGTCTGAAATAAAAACCAACTTCTATCTTCAAGGTTCTCATCATTTTACATTTTGGAATTTGCAACAGTTTCTCCTGCAGGACAACAGGTATTTTTGAAACCCATCAATGTGTCTGAAATAAAAACCAACTTCTATCTTCAAGGACCGTCGTTGTCAGTACTCACGGTTGAGTCCGGTGAAGCTGAACATGCCGATCTGCTGGGTGATGTGGTCCCAGGTCCCTGGAGTTCCCAGATCCTGAAGCTTCGTCTTCAGCTGATCTCTCATCAGCAGCACCCGGTCTGCCATCGTCTTCACGTTGTCTTTCCTGCAGAGAGGACAAAGAAGAGACAAAGATAAAAACTAAAAAACTGCCGACTCAGCTGAACGAGCAGCTAACGTCAGGTCGTCCTCGGAGTTCGTTACCATTCAGCGAAGAGCGTGGGGCAGTTGAGGGTCTTGCTGACCACGCGTGCTCCCTGTGACGGTGGGTTGGACCAGGTGGTCCTGACGATCTTCTCCATCTGAGACATGACGCGGCTCAGACTCTCGCTGTCCTGAGAAACTACGGTCAGGTTTCCGACTCTCTCATCTGATCACGGCGGGAAGAGAAGGTGTGACTGAGGGACGGCTGTGTGGACGAACCGCTGCACCACTGTGTGTGTGTGTGTGTGTGTTTACTCACTGTAGAGGCCAAAGTTTTTAGAGAAGGACTGGGCAATGAAGAGCTCAAAGCCCTCGGACACAAAGTAGCGAATGGCCCAGGCGTCTTTGTCCAGACTGCCGGAGGCGAAGCCCTGATAGGCCGAGTCGAAGAAGACGAACAGGTTCCTCCTCTGAAGAATCAAGGAGGTTCAGTTAACACGATTGTTTACAGGCTGTTGTTGGAAGTTTACATCAGGTAAACAAAAAAAAAAACATCTGCGTATTTAAGTATAAGCTGCGTTTAGGTTCTGTATAAAATGTGAAATAAAATCTGTCAGCAGCATCACCTCACTGCAGAACCACCAACCTTCATGATCTCAGCAATCTTCTTCCATTCCTCCTGGGTGGGGTCTGTGCCAGTGGGGTTGTGAGCGCAGGCGTGGAGAAGGAAGACGGAATGTTCCGGGGCGTTCTGTTGAGAAAGACCGGAATAATGACAGAAAAAAAAAAAAAATCAGATCTCAGTCTCAGCAGTTTCTCTGGAGTCTGACGAGGTTTTAATCTGAAACCTGAGACAGGACAGACTATTCTCTGTCAAATTATTTTCATCACCTCCAGGTCATCCAGGAGCCCGGCCAGGTCCAGGCCTCTCTTGGCAGCATCCCAGTAGTGGTACGGACGGATGTCCTTGAAGCCGGCGTCAGCAAACACACCGTTGTGGTTCTCTGGAAGAACAAAAACAAGGACACAAATAAAAAAAAAAAATTAAAAAAAGGGACCGAAAAGCTTGGTTCATGGGCAACTGTGTGGTCCACGAACCCCAGGTTGGCGCTGACACATAGATGGGTGTAGCAGTGTTGTTGGTGCCGTTGTACCAGCGCCGCAGGAACTCCGCCCCCACCCTCAAGGCTCCTGTCCCCCCCAGAGACTGAACCCCACCAACCTGACGAACACAAGAGCAAAGAACAGACGTAACAAAGACTGAAGACCTTCGTCTGTAACAGGTAACAGACAAAACACAGACACATGTCACCCTCACCCTCCCTCCCCCTCCCCCAAACCCACTCTGTTCTCCTGGATGGCACTGCTGTCTTCTCCCAGAGCGACCTTGGAGGCAGCGGAGCGGAACTCGGGCAGACCCAGGATGGGCAGGTACTCGTGGTTGAGGCTGCCGTCCTCCACAATCAGACGCTCGACCTTCTTCACCACCGGCAGCACCCACGGCTGGCAGTCGTCGGTGCGATAGGCTGGAGGAACAAATGATGAGTCCCATGGTACTGTTTTTATGTTCTCACCAGAGAGTGATTTAAAATGGCAGCAGACTGACACCTAACGGACTCTACGGGATAAATCTAACACTAGCCTAGCGACATCGAGAGAACGCCGCCGGTCTTTTCACGGCCCAGTCTCGACTGAAGGTCAAACCGTCCTGAACTAAGTGTAAATATGTGCTGCACATATTTGACTCTCTAAGAACTCATGTTGACTGGAGCTGCACAGGGATCAAATATCAGGCCTGCAGCACAGCTGTGGACCGTTACTCTGAATCAAAGGGCAAACATATTTCAGTCTTGGTCTAGTGACATGTAGTTCCTCCAGTAGCTGGTAGAGGGAGCCCTAGGCACAACTCAAACTATTGAATATTATTACTGAAAAATTATACATTTCTACAATACAATGCGATAAGATACGATAAGATAAAGTACATAACGGTATAAATATGCAATATGCAACAATACGATACATAACTATACGTAACGATAGGATCAAACATACGATGCTAATCCCACGATGGGGAAATTTACATAAAAATTGATACTGAGAGGCAAATACTTTGTAGTACGTATTGATAAAGGAACTATAAAACTGAAGTGACTGGTGGAAAGATGTGAACCAGGATTCTTTGCACTTCCCACGGGAATATTTTTTCACCAACTACCGATGACCTTCTGTCCTTACAGGAGGAATGTGACCGACGGTCTGTTTATCTTTGCTCTCAAGACCGTGAGAATCCATCGACAGATTTACGTAATAATTAACTGCAGCTGAACCAATAAGGATGGATTGTGACTCATCGACTAACAAATATTATTTACAAACAAACGACGCATCCGAGTGACATGCTAATTGTTTCCTGTCCACACGGTGGCACTCAGCACTCAGGTTTGTTTTGGCAACAATCGCCAAAATTACAATGGACGGTATTGTTGAAGCCTGGACCAACTGTGTACCGGTAATGACTCGTTACACAGAGCGATTTAATTCGAACCTAATGATGACAGATGTTCACACCTCATCCAGACTCCAGTCACGTCCCACTCCACAGTCGGAACAACTGACGATGTTGGGTCTCGACTTTGGAAAATCATTGTATTTTGACTATGAACATTTCGACTTTGGAAAATCATTATATTTTGACAATGAACATTATTAATTACATTATTCCGACTTTGGAAAATCATTATATTTTGACTATGAACATTTATTTTATTCATTTTATGACCATAACCGACCTACTACGTTCTGTATGACAATGACAGTAATATTGAAAAAAAAAACTAAAAAAAATACAATCGTGCCAATGTTTATATTTTACATTTAATTCTTTTAAATTAAATGTATCTTTTCATTGAGGGACAAAACGGAGCTGTTTTTAAGAGATCTCCTCAAACTAAAATGAATTGTCTTCTCAAAATTAAAGCTAAAACTAGCATTTATTTACTCATGTCTTAGCAAAGTATAATCTTCTATTTCGTCGGTTTTAAAAAAAAATCATTTTGCTGAAAAACATGTTTTCGTGCTGATACATCACTGCTGTAAAGTACATAAATACACGGTGTACAGTATGTGTTATACTTAAAAAATACCTGATGCAGTTGAATCTTTTGTGGGAACTGTTGAATCTTTTGGGGGAACTGTTTTTTTATTATTATTATTCCTTAAAGGTACGTACAGTTCGTCACTCGGTGAGTCTGTTTGCAGTCACGTTGTTCACACTTGAGTAACAACGAGTCATTGTTTGTTCGAGTGAACACCATCGTTTTTCATTTGGTCGATAAGCTGCGTGTAGATGCGTTCAAAGACACTAGGATAAAGTGGGACAACTTCGCACAACACATTTTAGCCGAACAACATTGAAATGACACCAAATGAAATGGCTCGTTTGTGGTGTAACTTCATTCAATCCAGGAACATTTAAACGAAACTCGGGGAAAGTCATTCTCTGCTCCGGGTATTTATTAGCTGCACTCTATCCCTGAAGGTCAAACCGAAAAGCTGCTAATGTTTTACGGTGCATTAGCAGGACATATTTGGAATGAATGTTTGTTGAGCAAACTAATACCTGCTGCAGGCTAAGTTAGCATTAGCTTTAGCGTGAACCCAATGACAGCCACCATCTCTTTACCTCCGACTCCCAGATTGACCTTCTGCGGGTGGCTGTCCTCCCTGAAGTCGGCAGTCAGTTTAAAGACGGCCACCGGAGGAGCCTGAGGGACATCGCCGAAGATGGACATGGCTGTGGCGGAGTTGGCGTTGAGAGGACACCGGGAAACAGAACGAGTCGGCAGCGGTGGGTTAGTGCGGCTGAGGACGGATGGAAAAAGAGAGATAGGCCGGCTTGAAGGCTTCACCTTCAGCCACTGGTTCGGAGAAAACAGGAAGTACGAAAGTGAATCCGCCAATCAAGAGGCTTTATGGTGTGACGTAACACAAAGACAGCCAATGGCAGCGTCGAATAAAATTACACGGCTCGATTGTTTCGTACTTTTTAAACATTTTAAAAGTTGTCTTTTGTAAATATGGCCAATTAATATGTCTCAATATATGTTATTTATGTTCCTAAAACGAATAATAATGTAATTTTTATTTATTTTAAGTACACGTTTATTTTCGTGTTTTCTTCTATGAAATATTCTTCTCTCCTTTTTTACATTTTTTTTCTGGACCGTATCTATCTAGCAAGACTTGTAAACTACATTATTTATGGTAATAAAATAGCAAAGTAAGTGGCCATAATATATTTTATGAGCTTTCACGGCCACCGTACATATGCACTACAGAACCCAAACAAACTTGTATCTGAAGCCTGACTTTTATCATTCTAATAAACCCATGAATTCCTCTATCTTTTCGCCGCGCATCGTTGCATCGATATAATTAGATAAACGGAGATTGCGTTATCACAACCACCATCGTTGATAAATGATGTGTCCACCCTCCTCCACCACAAGAGGTCAGTGTACGCACATCGACTAATTTACAGAGCGTCAAGTTTAACTCGTTTAATACAACAAGATTAAAACAGTGTTTACACATTTTTCAAACCCTTATCTTGACCCTATGACCCTGAAAATAGTGCTTAGGTAATGAATCGGCTGAATTCTAAGACATTTATACTGAATCACATGGCTGAATTCTAAGACATTTATACTGAATTACATGTTAGAAATTGTTTTTCTATTGTTGTTCTATTGGAATTCTATTTTCCATTGTTTTTTTCTACAACATTTCAAATAGAGAGTTTTTCTATTGTTGTTCTATTGGAATTATATTTTCTATTTTTGTATTGTTTTTTTTTCTACAACACTTCAAATAGAGAAAAAATAATGTCACTATGAATAAGATAAATAAAATAATAATTAAATAACTTGATCTAAATGGCATATAATGTAGGATCAGTAGAATAAATAAGCCAATATCATCTCATTGTTTTAAAAATCTCCTATTTATAAAAATTTGAAGACTCAAATGAGGTGGGCACAAATCCCCTGAAGGGGGGCATAAAAATAAATAAATAAACATTTCTGTGTTCTCACCTGTAAGTTTAAGGTGAGCACCAGAAACCTTTATTTATATATTTATTTCCCATGTGTCCCAGTGTTTTTATTTCAACAACTTTACATTTTAAGATGAAATATTATAATATATTTAATGGAATACATGTCCTACGACCCATCTTTGTGTCCCAGCCCAGGTTTTGTGAATGATCAGCCACATTTTTTCATAAATGTTTTTTTTAAAGTTAAAACTCTCTCTGTTTGATCTGAAGTGTTTGATGAATAGCCTCAGCTTCTCGTCTCTTTGGTCTGCTCCTTTAGCCCCTTTGCAGCAGCAGCATATTTTCATGTTTTAGAAGTGTGACACACACACACACACACACGTATGTCACCCGTCCTACACTGCTCCCTCTCTCTCTCTCTCTCTCGTTCTGTCAAGGCCTCCCTCATTCCTCCACTTTTCCTCCCTTTCCTTTCTCTCTTCAGAACCACCGTGGTCGACCGTCAACAGTGTTGAATTTCAAAGCTCCCAGGAACTAACCCTGCTGGACGAGGCTGACTGAGTCGATTTGTCAACATGATGGACGTTTGGCGGCCCCAGCGCCCGTCCTCCTGCTCACTGGAGGCTGCAGGCCTGACACAGGCCGGTCAGACTGAGTGAGGGGACGATCACGTGACGTTTAACCGTGACCACAAGACACAGTAGAATTCAAAATTCAGATTGAAACTTCTAATGGATGCCAATGCAAAAATACATCTTTTTAAAGTTTTCCTTTTTAGTTTTAATTTTTGTTAATTGTTTTACATAACTGTAAAAAAAATCACCTACAAAGCTACAGTCTCCTTCCATTCCAAGTGGACCATCATCCCACCTCAGAAAATTTGAAACTAACTAAATTTTAGCCAAAGAGAAAAGCTAAAAAAAAATATATTCAGCAGCTCATACTTTGAGCTTGATATTATTAAATTAAGTTGACTAAAATATTATGTATTTCTGAACATCAAATAAAATGACTGACGACCCTGCCCTGAGTTTGGCGTCCGACTAAAAATATGAGGCACATTTTAGGAATAATTCCACAAGAATCACAGCAGCTGTGAACATGACGGTGTCTGCGATATTGATTTTCAAAAATGATTAAAAAAATGCCCAGCGTTGCTATTGGTGGTCAGTGAAAGACAGGTGTTCAGATGTGTTTTCATCCTGCGTCAGGAACAAAACTGTAAAAAAAAAAAAAAAAAAGTGGCTGCATGTTCTCAGTCAACACTCGTTATCCTGCACCAAGGCCCTCGGAACAGCAGCGGCTGTGTGTGTGTGTGTGTGTGTGTGTGTGATGGGGGTTGTTACCCAGCCCAACAAGTGCATATAAGGAGCACCTGCACGGTCGTTGAAACACCCCATCACAACTTCACTCATGTTTTCACTCCTCTTCATGTTTCATGCGGCAGAACGTCAGGAGAAGAGGTTCCTGAGGAAGTACCAGAAAGTACCAGAAAGTACCAGAAAGTACCCCCTCATGTTCCTCAGTACTGGTGTCCAGGGACCCCCACTAAACCTGAGGGGCTTGTCAGTTTTTAAGGAGACAACGCAGACAAATTCAGAGTACTAAGTACGTGATCACAGTTCAGAGTTGAAGCCTTTTTTTGTCCTGGTTTCCTAACGAAGGCCTGAGGAAAACTGACTGTGATGTGTGTAACTGGAGACCTACAGTATGAGGACGCAGGAACAATGAGCAACTGGAACAAAAAAAAAAAAAAAACATTTCTGATTATGACCTCAGAGAGCAGCATCACCTCACGCTGACCTGCTTTGTTCAACTACCACATTCTTGTAGTGAACGTGTTTCACCCACATGACATTTAATAAAACACTCCCAACATCTCACGGCTTTTTGATGGTGGCTCTAGCGCCCCCTCCCCCCATGTGTTCTGTGTAATAAAATTCCTGCATACTCTATATTTCCGTGTACGTTTCGTTGAATGATGTCATGTGACGTCACTGCCTGAACACACGTTGTTTCAGGCATGAAAAAAATCTGAAGTCTTGACAAACTAAATAAGAGTGTGTGTTAAGCTGCTCCATGACTGGGGGGGGGGGCAGGCACCGCGGGGGCACACACACACACACACACACACCCTAACCAGCCCGGGGCCTGCAGAAGAGAGGCTGAGAGAGAGGGGGCGCCGTCAGGGGGGACGAGTTGACAGAGCGACTCCCCCAGGGAAGATGCCGTCCAACCATTGGCTGCTCTGACAGCTGCTACAGGATTCTGCCTGCTCATGCTCACACACACACACACACACTGTGACAAGCTCTGACACACACTTCTCCAAAAAACCCACAAGAATGTATTTCTGAACCGACATCCAGGACGACACCGTGGTAAAGCCAGGCTCTGCGTTATCGAGTTTTTATTATCGTAGAAAAAACAAAAATTACCAATTCGTACAGATATTACATAAAAATACTAATATTGGTCGATAATATCGGAGATCCCTTTTTTTTAAATACAATTTACGTCCTATGGCACAGGTCAAGAAAATAATTAACCTGAATTTCATCTGTCCTGCTGCCGTCTCCTTGCAGTATCTCAGCAACCCTAGAGGGGGAGCTGCCCTGCCTCCCCACCAATTCTTCATTTGTCAACTGACTGGTCGTCCATATATGAGGTCAGTGGATGGACATCAACGTAAAACGTTATCATGGAGTGATTACATTCACCCACACCAGCTCCTACAGCTCAGGGTAAAACCATTCATCAAACGCTCCTCGTCCAAACTCCTCTTCACCTCCACGAGAACCAATCACATCACAGGCCTCGGGTCCAACCAACATTGTCAGTCAACAGGCTCCTCCCACCCAGGGCCATCAGCACGACGGCCGCCGACATCCCGGTCCCTTCCTCACAGACTCAGGTTCTGTTTGTTGATGTGTACACAGTAACGTGGATCACTTCCTGTCAGAGAGACTGACCAGACTCAACACAATCAAGAAAGAAAGAGAGCTGGGTGTGCACGCACTGGAACGAGCATTACATACATAAACACACTTAAACACACACACACACACACACACACCGACCCACACTGTGCCTGCCACTGCGTGCTCCTTCAGGTCCCGGTCCCGACCCGGCGGTGTAAATTACCATGTTGACAAGTTGTTGTTGTGTGCACACACGTCTGACAGAGCAGGAAACAAGGCAGATGGCTAGCTGACAAGCCACATCCCATTGACTGTCAGTGGTGAACCACACGCCACCACGGTCGAGAAGGTGACGACCACGAAGGCCTCGAGAAAGTTACTGAGGCTCAAAGAAGAAGAAAAAAAAGTTCAGATTTAAAGCAGTTTCTTCACAACCGTGATCGAAGTACTTTATCAACAGAGTTAGTTTTGACACCGACTGACCCTCCAAAGTCAGGAATTGATGACAAAGTCAGCTCCTGCTGGTAAGAAGTGAAACTGCAGCCAGAAAGAAAATAATTACATTCATAATTAACAATAACACACAATAGAAATAAGACACAAAGTATGAAGGGAAATCATATGTAACTGACTACTAGCATCAAGCTAACAAAATGGCCGCTGGTTAAAAATCATGGAGGATTATATAAATATGTGCAGTTCAACGGAGTCACTGCTCTGCGCTGGATTATGGCGTCGTTTTCTACTTTTACGTCAAATCCCAGCTACGAACGATGGTCAGTCTGTGCAGTCGCAGGCTGAGGTTTTCCTGAACTGACCAAAGGGTGGCGTACTCTCTTGCCTCAATAACGGATGGGCTCATTGTTCTTGTATAGTCATACTGGCAGCAGCTGTCAAGGCTGAAGGGCGGTAAGATGGTGCATTTGGAGGGAGGTCCTATTTTAGGTGGTCTCCAGGGAAACTGTGGGGAACTGAGGACGACCTCGGAAACGAACGACAGGAACCGGCCTGTGTTTGTCTGCGTCCTGGAGATTCAGAACATTTCTAGTCGAGGTTTATCACTTCAGATGTTCTGTGCGGTTGAACAGCTAAAATATTAGACAATACACTCTCTAAGAATCTGTGTAGCCTGAGCACTGCTGTGATTAACTGGCTCCAAATTCAACGTTCGGAGAGCGACGGCGTCACAGCTGGCTTTGAACCCAGCTGTAGTTGGAGGTGTACGGCATCATCTGCCACAGAGACCTTGAGGCCTGCTGTTGATCGTCGGCCGAGCATCTGACAAGGCCGCAGCTGCAAACGTGTGTGTGTGTCAGCCTCCATTTTTTTCCCCTTGTTTCTTCTCGTCTTAACTTAACTGTCCACAAACAATTTCAGAGAAAAAAAAAGGGACATTTCTGAACCACTAACCCAGCGACTCTGGGAGCTTTCGTATTTACAGCGTTGGCGTGTGATGGAGGAGCCGCGCAGTCTCTACCAATAACAGATTGTCATTCTGATGTCGGCGCCACAGGGAGAGAGAGAGAGCAACAGCCAGAGTCCATCTCGCTGAAACTCTGTTTACTGGCAGCGGAGCACGTCGTCCGAGCGCAGGGTCCCACATGTAAACGTACAGGCCTTACATTATAAAAAAAAAACAAAAAACAAACTCTATTCTCACCGAGTTACTGACACGCATTTAAAATCTCTGATGGATTCATCGTCTGCTTTGGCCTGAAGGGGGAAACCTGTAGGTGATCGGTCATCATTTCTTGTCTTGGCTCATTATTGTGTGTATTTCAGCCTGACACAGTGAGGATACATGGGAGTTTGTAACGGCCAACGCAGCACAATAAATCATTAATAACTCGGGGTCCATAGATAGATCTGTGTACACTAACAGTCATTACAACACGCGAACACACACACAAACATGACAGCTTCCTTCCACATGACTGATGCTCACTCCACAATAGTTCCTACAACAGTTTCCCATCTCTGCCCTGGTCACAGCGGTGACCCCTACCTGACCTCTTCTTCCATGCGTGGGTGTGTGTGCGTGTGTGTGTTCCTGGTCTCATTCATTTAACAGGAGGGAACGTCAGGAACACGGACGTTCACGGTCGGTGGAGAGTTAGTTCTAAGACAAACACAAAAGAAAAAACAAAACAAAATGATATAAATGAATCTTGGGAGAGTTAGTTCTAAGACAAACACAAAAAACAAAAACAAAATGATAAAAATTAATCTTGAATGAATCCTCATTGGTTGATTCATGTGGTCAGACTCACTTTTAGCCACAGTTCATTGTCCGTGGACTTTCCAAACAGCGGCTCATGGGACACGGTTGAACCAGCCACAACCTCAGAGTGGCCCAATCTGTGGTCAGTTATGACACAACTGGGGATTGAGCTGAAAACTAAAGCTAAAGCCTCAGGAAGAAAATAATTACATTGCAGCGATAGGGGGCGCAAAAGTACAATTTCACCTAGGTCACAAAGACGGCTAATGTCCACCATCTTGATTAGAGTCACATTTAGCAACAACCTTAACGAAGGTGAGGCATTTGTAATGTTTGTTTGTTACATGTAAAATGTAATGTTTTTGTTTGAAATGAAATTACTGCTTCATCACAGGTAGGGATCGTATTGAATGACTGTGGAGAAACATGAAGATTTAGGAATGTTTTTTTTTTTTTTATTGATGTCAGTACAAAGATTATTGTTGGTGCCGTCCGTTCATATTATATATATATATATATATGACATCTCTACCCGAAAATCAATAATACCACAATGTAGTGTATCTGAATATATCCAAAGAATCAGGTGAAGTTCATGTTGTTACGTCTACTTTGCCTAAGAACGCTGTTGAATGGATTTGAAAAGAATGGTGTGAAATAAGGCTAAAACATATTTGATTTATTTTATCACCTACTTCATTCACAGGACAACGTTATCAGATATTGTAGGACTTGTTAAAAATGTTAAAAAAATATATTTTTAAATCCATCCTGGTAAAAATCGTGGTCTTTCACGTGTTTGTTTGGTTACCATGCACCAGCATACCTCACTCCCATTGGCTCCCTCGTGTCTCGGAGACAACCTCCGGAGGCCCGAGACACGCTTCGATAACGTTTGGACGGGAGCTTCTGATCTTCCACTCACAGAGATGATGAATCTGGGATCAGATATTAGAGTGAGCCAGGTCTCATTATATATCACAGAATGATTTGAATTCAGCATTAGCGCAAACGCTAATTTCAGTCTTTTGGATGTTGATCCTGGCGTCAAATCCTTGATATGGACTCTACCGTAAACCTCTGTGTGACATGATAGGAGAGCCTTTCACTGTGTAGCTCCCAGTTGGTGCATTAACTGAGTTTGGGTTAAAGTTGTGTTTTTGATTTTCGATTATTTATCATTACCTCTGTCTGGATTTACTCATCCTTCATCATCCCTGGTTGTCATCCTCTTCTTCGCTCCTCTTTAACCTCCTTTTGGTTGGTGAGTGTTTGCATCCAAAACTTTTTTGTCCCCTCTCGTTCCATCCATCTTACTCTGAGTTCGTCTTCTGACTCACGTGACGTCCACTTCGTCACGTCTCCTGGATCCTCTCAGCTTTTTTTCCCAGTACAGTTGGTGCCAGTGGTGGTGGTGTTTGTAATGGTTTTCAGCGTCATTCCTTACACCTACTTCTTCTTTATTTCACTTCATCCTATTGTGATATTTGTCCTCATTTCATCCACAATGCCAATTAAAACTGCCGTCTTTGGAACGTAGTCGTCTTTTAAAAGCAGCCTGTGTCACAGAAATACTGCATTTTTACACGTGTACTCCCCCGTACATGGTTCTTTTCTCTGTTCAAATGAATCTGTTAATAATAACCACGGTTCTACTTCACAGCGCCTTTTTGTTCAATCTGACCAATGTCGTAAACTCCAGGCGTGAAGGACATTGCTCCATGTGTGGACCGAAAAGTCCAGAGAATAAAACAGATCCTAAACCAGCATGAGTATCGCAAAGGTCAAAGCAACGCCGATGTTTATCCAACAAATGGCAAACAAAACGATGTCCAGCCACTCGTCTTTGGGAGGCTTTGAAGCACTCTCCGTAAACAGCTTCCTAATATGTCTCCTCAGACAGGAAGCAATCACGGCCTGCACTTCCCCCTCCTGCTCCAGCAGGTGGTACTTCAGCTTGGTGCCGTACTCCTCCTGAAGCTCCTTCACCACAGCCTTGGCCAACGACTTGGCCTGGTTGAGCGAAACGTAGCCGTTCACGCCGCCGAGTCCTTTGCTTGTTAGAGTCACATAGTTGGTGATGAGGAAGTCCTTCTCCTGGTCCGTGAGTCCCTCCAGGGCCCCAGCTCTCTGGAAGACGTGGAAGACGGCCTTCCTGAGAAACAGAACGGCTCGCTTCTCCCTCTCGTTCAGAACCGGCTCTTTTTTCACCTCGGCACGCTTTTTATCCGTGCGGGAAATCAGGCGGAATTTCATGATGACTGTAAGGTGTCTGTTTTAGAAAAGTTTATTCTGTCGTGGAGTTGTCGTTCACCGTCGATACTTTACGGCAGCTGTCAGTCCTACTTTTTCTGTAGAAGAAATGTGCGACGTGGGAGGAGTGACTCACCTCAGGTACACCTGTGAAGAGGGACGACAGATGAAAGGACGACAGATTCAAACAAACGTGACATCACACACACACGTGTCACAAAAATGGGCGAGTACCTCGAGTGGGTTACGTGACATCACGTCGGATTAACCACGGGCCCAAGACACATACGATGGTTCTTTTTAACACTGATGGCTCGATCTGATACTCAGGATCGGTATCGGTCTGATATCGGTCAAAAATTTCCAGATCGACCACTGAAGAAAAACTGCTGTAGCCAGTCCGATCCAATACCTGAGCCCAGGTGCTCAACTTTGCGTGATTCCGTAAACAGGGAGACAAGAAAAAAAGGTATCGGATTGATATCGGTATCGGCAGATACTCAAAAGCTGCAGTATCAGAATTGGACATCAAAGAGTTGCATCGTACCATTCCAAGTATTAAACCCTCAACTCCAAAACAACCATTATAATCTTAAATCTGGTTTAATCTTGATTTTTCAAAAAATAAAAATAATAATTATAATAATAAAACAACAAAAACATAATTCAGTTCAGGTGGTTGTTTATTTCTTTCTACATTGGATTAAATATGAGCCCAAGTGTTTCCCTCTGATGGATATGGATTAACCTGTAATTTGACTAACATTTAAATTTAATCTTAAAAAACACAATCATATTAATATATTTCCATGAATGGGCATTTATTCTATTTTTTGTTTTTTGGCTCTACTTGACAAATGGATTCTATATAAAGGAATGTAAATCTATTTTTATGTAAGTGCAATTAATTAAAAATAAATAATAATAGCATTTATCATTTAATGACGAGCGGTCACCTCCTAACACTGAGTAAAAATAAGACTAAGATTCAGACTCTTAATTGAAACTAAATAACCCCCCTCCCACACCAAATGTGGGGGGGTTATATATGTTTATATATATATTTACCTAGGTCACTTTAAAATCAATTTAATTGATATTTGAAATAGTAAAGCTCTTCCTTGACACCGATTTAAAAAAAAACACAAGATAGTGTTTAAAAGATAAAAACAAATCTTTTACAGTTCAACAAAGATCAAACATCCCACTAGGGGTCACTCCAGTCTATTTCTGAGACCCTTTCCTTCGGAATCATTTTAGTCAAGTTGATCGGTGGAAGCTGGTTTAACAGTTAACCGTTGGACCCTCCCGTGTCTTGAGCTGCATTTCCCCGTCGTAGGCGCTGGGATTTGGAGATTCTGGGAACTATGTTCTGGGAAGGAACTGGTCGTTGTTTACAGTGGCTGCCTGTGGTTTCACTGCAATTAAACCAGCGTGAAGATTATGTAAATAAAATCCCGTTGGTCTGTTGAAGACACTGTTGTTGTCGAGGTCCTTCATTGGTCCTCATCCTCCAGCCTGACCTGTTGTTGTTTACTCGTACGGTGAATGCTGACCTGCCAGTGTCTGGGTGAATCCTTGACACCACTTTCTGTGGCAGGTGTTTTTTTTTCTTGGGTGCAGGGGAGAGCGGAGGGGGAGGGGGGTCACTCAATTACCTCTTCAGAAAAAACCCTTTCAAAAAAGCCTGGATTTTCTACAGGCTTCTTTGAGCCACTGGTTTACTTCTGTGTCCATTTGTTAATGGGTCAGAGATTCAGTAAAAATGTTGCGTCTTCTTTTTATAAGGTCAACAGTTACACAAATAGAAAGGTGGTTTCACATTTTCATTCCTCCTGATTCCTCCATTTGCTGGTTGAACAGGTATTATTTTAAAGTACTCAAATCAAATCCTTCCTAGAAGTTTCCTGTATCCATCGTCTGTGCCATTTCAGGAGCAGCGATGAGGAAAATGATTTTCATTTTCAATATTTTTCTTATTTGCACCACAGGGGGGGAATTGTACTGCTTTGTATTTTCACTTTTATTTGTTCAACGAGAACAGGAGTTTTGTAGGGATTGCAGCAGAACCCCATCCTGATCTCAGCCTTGTCTCGGTCTCAGCTACGTTCACCATTTTTGATGGATGTTGTCAGATGATTGAAGGAAGTTCTGAGTTTTGGTAGATGATCTTTTCAAATCATTTGAAAACGTGAGAGTTCTGTCATCAAAGATATTTGAGTTGAAGAAATATAAGACTCCAGTTGACAATTTTAACATCGGATCCTAAACAAAATCCGGCTTAAGGTTTTATTTGGCCACATTCAGACAGGGTTCCACCTTGGGCGTGTCCATTCATCCAGCTGCCACAGTACAGCTGCCCCTTGTCTGCAAAGAACAGCTTTCCTTGGCCGTGCTTCTTGTCGAACCTCCATTCTCCTTCGTACCAGTTTCCGTCCGCATACGTAACGATGCCCTCTCCGTGTCTTTTATCCATCAGCCAATCCCCCACGTACACCTCTCCGTTCTTGTAGTGCATCTCACCCCAGCCGCTGCGACAGTCCTCGTACCACTTGCCGTCGTAAAAAGATGAACCGCCATAAACGCATTTCCCAAAGCCGTGCTTCTTCCCGTCTTTCCAGTCCCCGATGTACAAATGCTCACCTTTTTTGTACAAGCCATTTCCGTTACGTTTGCCACGTTTCAGTGGTCCAACGTAGAGGGGATCCAAAGGGTTTGGAATCCTGGAAACCGACCCAGTGCTGTTTCGTCGTCCTCCTCTCTCCATCGAGCACATTGTTTTTATGAACTCTTGAAATAAACGATAAAAGTTAAAAAGAATGATACAACTTTGTCTTCTTTAGTTTTTTCTAGCAGCTGGGAACCTAAATGTTTTGTGGGCTACTGACCTGTTGGGTTTCGTAACGACTTGTTACTGAACTGTCGACTGATCACTTCTAAGGCGATGGGACATCATAGATCAAAGGAAACACTAACCCAGCTTTTCAGCTTTTACATCACGGCTACAAGAGGCCGTTTAAAGGTTCAGTTGAAACAAGAGGAACATCGGTGTAGATGAAATGACCTCTGAGCTCGCAGACATAAAGTACTGCACAGAAACAATAGAAAACCTCAAACAGTCATGACCAGAAGGTGGCAGTAATACCCCAGATGGACGCAAACTGCAGTTAAAAATCGACAACAACATTAAAAACAGAACAGAGAGCGCCGACATGTGGACAGTGTCTCTGTTCAACGGGCGGTCTCTTTGTGTAAAACACAATGGACGTGACACACACACACACACACACACTGATGAGGTGTCGTATGAAGTGCTGCTAGCATCATTACATTGCTCCGAAGCTAATTACTTGTCGTTAAGACTCATTAGTTTGACTCGCTGGACTGAGTTACACCTCAGGTCCAGTAACATGATCCTACAACAACAGACACACACACCAAACACACACACATACACCAGTCGACCAGCACTCCCTTGGCATTCTACTAGTAGATCACGATCTACTCACTGTTCACCCCTGCTAACCTCGACCTGTACAACGTTCAGAGCAGCACCTTGTGGTCGTAACAGCACATACATATCTGGGGGGGGGTTAGAGTTCATCACTCAGCAGAATCTCTGCAGTGATGAAGCAAAAAAAAAAAAAAAAAAAAACCTGCTTACACACAGCTGAGAACTAAAGAGCGTGTAAATGTCCCGTCTGTGGAAGTGAAAGTGAAAGTTAATGTCAGGAAACTTTGCTGAGAAGCAGCAATAAACATCCTCCAGCCTCCACCCCGCTGCTGTCATTCTGCCGGCAAAAGGATGACAAACACACGAGCCGCAGCGCAGCAACCAGGGGGCCCTTGACTTCTGCTCTGGAGCCTTCCCAGCTGTGGGACCCAGCCCACTGGGGCCCCCGGTGGTCGAAAGTGATCTATTGTCAGTGTCCATCCGGCCAGAGGCGGCCCTGTCCTGCATGAGCGCCGCGCTCCGGAGGCCTGTGTTTAGCCTGATCCAGGAAACAGACTCTTCCTCCACCTAAACACAGCACAGGGCTGATCATGAGCTCCTTAATATAATTATTTTGAGAAAATCTTAAAAGTTAAATTATAAAATTTGAAAAAATTGTGTTTTGTGTTTGGAATTAGAACATTAAAGTTTTCTCTTTTTTAATTCTAGGTTTTTGGTATTTTACGGTGTAAAGTACTTGCGGTATAAAGTATTACGATACAACATTGTGTGTTCAGAAATATTTTTTTTTTCGCAAAAAAATTTTTTTTATTTCCTATCGATTGTCTAATATTATTCAGTACTTTTAAAATGCCGTAGGTAAAAAAAAAAATCTAATATATCAAATGCAAACATTCAATTGAGGTCAGAGAAATTAAAATAAATTAAAAATAAAAAATGTTGACCAAATTAATGTTTTTTTTAAATCTTAACTTTAAGTTTAAACTTAAAGTTAAGTTAAACCTTAACTTGAAGGTTTGTCAAAAGAAATTAACAAAATTTATAAACAAAATAATACCATGGTATTTTCCCCTCAAACGTGGTTGGTTGAAGCTGATTAAACGTCTTTTAACAGGTTCTAGTACTAGTTTGTCAAGTAGTTAGGGTTAGCACAGGTCCATCCCACGCTGCCTCATATAGCAAAGCTAAATTATAGTTGTTACTATTATTATTATTAGCACTATTTATTCATGTATTTAAAAAAAAAACCAGGAGTGAGAAACGTCTCCTGCTGCGTCTGTGGAGAGCAGAGCTCCGCCTCATGGAAGCATCCGAAACGTTCCGTGTTTGACGAGTTGCAGACAATCGTTCATTCTGGCTCGTAACTCACGGCGTCTGACAGAGGTCGTGTGAATGGGATCTTTCTCTGTGTCTTATGAACGAGTGAGCAGCAGCAGCACTGAGGTTAGTGTTGGTCGGGTGATGGAGGGCGGGGTGAGGGGCAGGGGAAGGGGGGGCTGAGGCCCTAAGGTGCTCCCTGGCTCTCTGACTGGATCATCTATATCCCCAGTTTGTCTAATGGTTCTTAAAAGATGGTCCTGGAGACAAAACATAAACACTTGACAAGAGAAAAAATACAAAACAGGGAGGAGGACTCAAACCCACCGAGGTGGAGGAGAAACGGAGGAAGTGGTTGATGATGTTTGAGACCATTTAGCCCCAGTGGTTCATGCATCAAAGAACCTTCGAAGGGGTTTCAAAGTTCCAGGTTCCTTTTTTTTCTACTTTTGGCTTTTAAAGTACATTCAGTTTGTTCAATTTGAATAAATTGCAACCGCTCAAAGGACTCATGGATTAAACAGACAAAGCCGGCGAGTCTGTGACTTGATAAGAAAATAAAGGATGTTGGAAGATTAAGAAAATGTGGAGTGTTTTTTGGAAGATAATTCAGCTGACGTTAAAATAAAGGACCATTAATGACCTAAAGTCCAGATCCAAAAATAACATTTTAATTCATTTCAACTGACTCTGAGGGTGAGACACGGAGAAGCTGCCCAGCGGTGCAGCGGGCGAGAACCGTCCGTCCAGCTGTAGCCCAGTCCGAGCCCTCAGCCGTGAGTGATGGTCGAGGGTTGGACAGGTTGTAAAGCAGCCAGGGCTCTGTGCTGTTTAGCAGATAGAGAGCTGATAAAGGAGGGAGGGAGGGAGGGAAGGGGAGAGGGAGGGAGGAGAACCAAGGGGCTCTAATGGAGGGGGAGATCCGGACTGTCTGCGAGGTGATGGAGTGGTTCTTCTCCCCTCTCTAAACCTCCAGCTCCACCTCAGAGGCACTAATGCCTCGGCAGCTTATACACAGACAGGCAGACGGACAGACAGACGGGCTTCTCCTCGGAGCAGACGGGAGGAGACGTGGCCCAGCCTGCAGGTTTATCTGAGATGAGAATTACTCTTCATAAAAACACTTCTTCACTACGTGAAATCTGTCTGAAAAAAAAAAAAAAAAACACTCAGCGATAAAAGAGCATGAAAACATCTCTGACTCAGAAGATACTTAATTATAGTCTGGTAAAATTATACTCCAGCAACAAGAGCTCCCTTTGAGGATTTAGAGCTGCAACTATTTGTCACTAAATGAACTGTTATTTTTATTTAATTTTTTTAAGTAAAAGGTTGAACCTTGAACTAAAATAATTAAAAAATGATTTATCATATCCTATAGTCCAAGATAATAATAATAATAATAATAATAAAGTATATATGTAGAGTCAGAAAAAACTTTTACTCTTATTTGTAGTGGTTCACATTAAACACAGAATTATTGTCTTTATTATTAATTATTATCATTTATATTTTTTAGCCCGTATAATCCGCGCACTACGTCACGGCTTTGGTTTAATAAAATAAAAATTTCTTATCGGTTTTAAAAGGCTTTACGTAAAAAGAACAACAAAGTGCGTCGTGTTCCATTAGATGTCGCTCTAATGGATCACGGGAGGGAGGGGGGTCCATAAACTTAGAAAATAATGATAAAACTATGTGTATACACATATTATATATACAGTATGTATATGTGTGTGTAGAAAGGAATATTATACTGGACAAAAAGTAGAGAGTACTAGTTTTAGTAGTACTAGTTTTAGTAGTACTAGTTTTAGTAGTACTATATAGTAGTACTAAATCCACGGTGTAAAATGCACCACTCTCAAAACTACTCTTATCTCATCGATTCAATCAACAATCGGATTGTTTTTTTTATTGGTGTTTGTTTGTTTGTATGTTGCCATGGATACCAGAGTGAGACGTGGATTCCTTCTTGTCAAATTAGAGCCAACAGCGTGTGGAGCAGAAACAACAGGCTTATAAATCAGACCGGTTTCCTCTCCGATAACAATGGGAGTCAGGGCCTCAGTGGAGAGGGAGTCCACATCTGCCAAGACCAGCAACACCAGCAACACCGGCAAGACCAGCAACTCCCG